TGTACCAAAGGTCACGTAAACACAAATAATGGACTCCTATTATATATTATTATTTAAGTATAAATTTGAAAAACTGCGTATAAGAACAAATATCCGAATCTGGAACATTGATTTTCATGGTCTTCAACAATAAAATACTATTGCATAAATTGTAGATATTATTACAATGGATAGTAGATTTGTTTCTTTCGGAATGAATCCACTAATTATCGCTGCCATTAAAAATATATTATAATTAAATAATTTAGCATGTTTGTAAATATATACTCTTTTTCAAAAATATATATACAATGAATATTCGTTTTTTTTTCTGCTAGTAAATAAAGTAGAAAAAAAAAGACATTAAAAGACATTAACAACTATATAATTTACTAAAAAAAAAATTAAGGTCGTGGGTAATGTTATCGGAAGTTTACAATTGGTGCACACTATTATATAAAAAACCTTCATACCCCAACCTTCAGTATCGACGAAATTTCAATCAATAAATATTACTTAATCTAAAAAAAAATCAAATAAGGTCATCGAGGATCTACGAGGATGGTAATCACTTCGAGGATCTACAATTCCACCACCAAGATAGACTGCTAGCCTATCTTGCCTTTATCACATGCTCTTAACTTTCCCACCCATCTTTCACATTAAAGAAAGTGATTGACTCATGATTTATGAATGTTTTATGAGGTTTTACTTTAGTCAGTCTTTTCGCCTCTTACGAACATAATTATTTAAACATTGATATTTACGGCCAGGTTATCTATTAGCATGCATCGGTAAACGAGCAGAAAGCGGAAATTTTGTATATCAAGTAACAGTAATAATATATATAAGAATAAAAATGTGTTTGATAACAATAATCATAATACAACTGTAGTTTATTTGTTCAGTCTAGTCAAAACTGAATTAATTAAAAAATAGTAATAATAAAAGACCAAGAAAAAGTTTGATTGAATTTAAAAATTAAGTTGATACAGGTATAACCCAAATCAATTATACAATAGATACCTTGTTAAATGAAATTTAGAAAATACAATTCTAAGTGATTAACAATATTGCTATATTTTTCTGTTTTCTGGTGCTTTGAGCATAATCAAATTAAGGCATCCAGTGTGTTGGCCATTGTATCAAAACCAAAAAGATATTTTAAGTAACCAAAACAGAAAAGCGTATGCGTTCTTCTCTAGCAGGATCGCAGTATTCATTCAGCTGACATAAGAACAGGATACTCTACCTCGAGTTCAATTATTTTTTTTATTAATCTAAGAATATCGGGTGGAGAAAGAGAATAACCTTTGTTCATATTCCAGATATCAGTTAGTACCCTGAGATCCCCTTTTAGTTTCTATAAAAAAGCGTTTCCTTACCTTGCAGAATTCCAATCCATGCTATGTTCTTTTGTGGGCTGTGTTCAAAAAGTCATTGACAACGAAAGAACTATGCAAAGGTTATATCAAAAATTATTTCTGTAATTAAGGCTGTCCTGGTAGACAACTATATTGGTTGTATTATCAGCCAATTGAACACCTACGACACTATGTTAAGGTGACCAGAATAGATGCAGAATTATATATTTTATTATGCTGTTTAACTTCATTTTATATTCACTGATAATCATTAAAGATATTGATAAGTTAACGACATCCTTTTGTGTGACTTAATTGTCATTGCAGATGCCGATCTACTGCCAGAGTAATTTCTTCTCGATTTTCAATTCTTAAAATAATATTTCCATCTCTATTTATATATTTTTGCGGTTTTATATTTTTTTTATAAATATTTTTACTTTTTCTTAATGGTTTTTTCATTGTCCATTGAATTTTAAGTACAAAAGATATAAGATATTCTATCAAATATACATTCAAGGTGTATTCATTTAATGTTTAACACATAATTAAGTGGAAAAATCCTGCTTGAAAAATAATATATATACAAGTACTTCAATATACATCTTATGCCTTTTTGATATTTACTTAAATAAGTGGAATCTGCAGTACATAACAGCAACGACCTTCTGCAGTTAATTTGTGCAAACATAAATAAATAATTAAGATACTTTTGTTTATCTTCACTCGGTGGTATGTACGTAATAGTGAAAGCGCTACGAGACATGAGTGAATAATTTGGTTGTAATTAACTTCAGTGCAGAGGACGTGACCAAGAGAGATGTGAGGTCAAAATAACAAAAAATAAAATTAAAACCATAAAACTCAAACTAAGTTAGCATATTTTCACGCATCCTAAAAAACAAAAACTCATATACTAAATATTTAAAAAATGTTTTCTAAAGCCACA